GTGTTTATTTATATTGACAAAGAGAGAATTGCTGCAAAACAGTTCCAGAGAGTTAGATTCTGATACTCTACATCACACTAACTTTATTTTAGACTGTGCCAGATGTGGAAACGCAGTGGTAACCTGGTCAGAGACACTACTGCGAACAAATGAGGCAAATTTTTCATCCATGACCAAGCTTGGGGCATAATGGCGTCAGCACGGATCCATGCAAAAAATAGTGTTAAGACAGGACAGTAGGATGCTGAATTCATGTTAGACTGATTGACATGGACTTACATGTCCATTGGAGACACTCAGAGGGGCCTCAGACGGAAGGGCAGGATTGTAAATTTGCCTGATAAAGAACTGTGATGCAATCTTTGCATTAGAACCTGATGTGAAAATTCACACACTCAGTGATGGCAACAGCTCAATGTAGCTGCTCATGTGTTTGTATATGTGAAGGGTGGCCAGAATGTGCTGTGGGAATGGATGCGATTAAAAAGTGAACTGGCTGTTGAGGAAGCTTGAGAAAGTTTTATGAAGATTATGAAACATAACTAGCACTGAACTGCATCATTACATGATGTGCTTGTTATTACTGGGGATCAAAATGATGAAAAGCTCCACTGGCCGCTGTTCTTCCACCTAAAGTAAAAGATTGCCAATTATTTCTTTTTCCCTGGAAGATCTGTCCCTTTAATCCATTCTTGCACTTGTCTTCCATATCACCAATGTAGATTCTTCAGTTTCTTTACTCTTGAGTGCGGTGAGAACAAGTGTCACATTACATGCTGGTCTCATTAAACTTGTGGTTGAGCTCAGCGCTTTGATACATTTGAATGTAGCTCGAGTGTGTGTGTGAAATCGTCATGTCAGTTTACTGGGCCATGTGGAGTGAGCCATATGGCCACAGGGGATTGAGAGTGTGTGTGTGTGTGTGTGTGTATGTGTGTGTGTGTGTGTGTGCGTGTGTATACTTGGAACAAATGGAATGTCTTGGCAGGGAGCAGTGAAGATGATAAGGCCTGACTTTTGTGGCAGCCTTTGACCAAACCTCATTTTGTTCCTTTATGGAGGCCACTATTTGTGAATGCTTACAATTCCCACTCCTGGTACCATTGATTAAGTCACCTTTGGTTTTCACAGCTGGGCAACATCCTATTTTGTCAGTGCAAGACATCCCTATGTATTATCACAGCATCCTCAAACTTGGAATGACAACGACTGAAAATTGGTTCTGAATGCCAAGGGCTGGTATTTGCACATAAGGACTCACTTGATGTATTAGTATGAACTTCCTTGAACGTTATTTTAACAAGGAATTAATCAATTTACTTCTGCGTTCAAATGTTGAGCAAAATCATTTCATACCAGTAGCATTGAACTTTGTTTTAATATTGCACAGTCCAATTTCAGGCCATAAACTAATTAGTTTGGTGTGAAAACCTGAAAAGCAATTTCACATTTCATCATTCCCTCTGAGATACTTCTGTTATCGAAACATTGAACCGATGAGTAAGAGTAGACCGTTTACTCCTTCTACCATTCAGTATGATTATACCTGATCGTCTCTCTCAATACCAGATTCCCGCTTCTCCCCATACTCCTAGAAATCTTTAGAAATTATCTATTTCATGAAAAATTCGGTGATTTGGCTCCATAGTTTTCTGTGGTAGAGAATTTCACCGGCTCACCAGTGTTGAAGTAAAGAAATGTTCCCTCATCTCAGTCCTAAATGGTCTACCCTTCGTCCCAAGGCTGTGTTCTTGATTCTAGACCCCTTAGCCAGGGAAAGCATCCTCCCTGAATCTTGTAACTAATGGTGGCAATGTGAGATCTCATCCGGGATTTGCACCCATGACCTTTCACAGTTATTTTGCACCATCTCACAAAGCAAGAATCGTATCTCTTGACCAATGAGCCAACTCTTGTGATCTGAGAATATATTATTAATCTCCTCCAGCCAGAATTACCTCAGCAAGTTCTTACGAGCATACAGAAACGGTCATGTACATTTACCGTAAGAACCGAAGCATGTATCAGGTCATTCATGGGTCAATATAGAGTTACCAAGCCAAGGCAGCGTTCTTGAACAGTTTGGTTCAGGGATGCTAATGGCTGCGGAGAATTTTCAGACTGTGTTTTTTGAAATGAGTATAGTGGTCGAACTCTCACTTTTGCTGATCCAAAATTGGTTTTGGGGGGGAGAAAGGGTTTTGTGTGTGAAAGATAGAGATTTGCTGCAGACAGGTTTGTCAGTAATGTCAAGGGAGTATTTAAACTAGCATCTTCAACTGATTTGTGTCTCCTGTTTTGTCTAGTGTCTTAGTGATAGAACATTAAATAATCCATAAACAGAGCATGATTTAAAAGAAAATGTTCTTAAATCCTGAGATTAAAAAATAATTGAAGAATAGATAAGCAGAGTAGACATCCCACAGAAGATGTTTTAAAGTCAACAGGAAAATAATAACAAGGTACGAACCTTTCACTCATTAGAATGGATGTGTACATATGAAATGTGACAGAACTCTTCATTGGAACATGTTGTTGGTTGAAGAGAAATTTAGCAGGTATTGATTTCAAATGTGAAGAAATGTAAGACCAGAAACAACTGCTGCTGAGAGTAACAAATCAGCGCTTCATGTTTCATTGTATTTTGTGTCTGCTGTTGTTATATGGCTGGTCACCTATTCATTCTAAATAGGGTTTATAACTACCTTACGCAGTGTTTGTGATGTGAGCATGCTAGCTTAGATTGTCTGAATGGCTGTGATCCATTTTTGGTTAATGTCAATTGAAGCATCTCATTTCATCTCTGAAAGCTCCTCCAGTAGTTCCTGGGCTGTAGTTTGGCTTTGACTAAATACTCAAAGACGGTTGGCTATCAGCAATTTTGGATGGTGCCTCTTGCTGCAAAGATGCTTTGTCATGGATTTGTAAAAAAAAATGTGAACAGCATTCTGGATTGTCCACGCACTCGTCATATTGTCATCTAACAACCTACATTTGGGTAGGTTGGGTATTTAGTTGGAACGAAACATAATGTCCTGATAAATAACTGGTCACTGCTGAGGTAGGAAGGAATCACAAAACATTCACATTTATCCAGAACTTTAAAACCAGGCAGCAGATATCGCTGCTACATGGTAATGTGTTTGACCTGATACAAAGTGATGCAGTATTGTAGACTTGTTTTCGCATTACTCAGAAGTTTGATGTGTATTTGGATTATATTTCCACTACGTAAGAACTAGTTATGCTTGTTGATAGGAGTTGGGTTTTGATACAAGCAGAAAGATGGTAAGCTATGAGACAGGACTGCTGATGTGACTGCTAAACACTGTGTGCTGCTGGTTGTTCTAACTGGAGGTGTTCATTTTACAACATTGAAGCAGCAGCATTTCCAAGAACCTCATTCCGATAGCTTCATTTTCAAATCTTCTCCTGACAAAGCTGTCAGATCAGCTCACTAATTGCGGCTTCCTTCTGTGAACCTATGGCACCCGTGCAGAAGAGGGCAAGTGGTGTCAAGTCAAGGATGGAGTGGCCTCAGCTCCATCCGCTGTCTTCTCCACAGGGGACACTGGAAGACCTGTTATCTGGAAGGCCTACCTTCAGTGGACCAGCTGTCATCAAAGATAACAAGGTGTAGAGCTGGATGAACACAGCAGGCCAAGCAGCATCAGAGGAGCAGGAAAGCTGACGTTTCGGGTCTGGACCCTTCTTCAGAAAATCATCAAATGTTGGATCTGTCAAGGAATATTCAAATGAAAGCAACTCGGCTTTGGAGGACTCTAATAAACTAAACTAACTTGGAAACAGTCTTTAATATACTCTGAATTCGTGTTTTTGTGCCAACAGAGATGAAAGTCTGGCTGCCTTGTCTTTAGGGCACACTGTTCAAATATTGATTGCAGGTTTTCTTTCTAATTGGGTGTAAATCTTTCATAAAGATATTTAAAAGTTGAGTCTGCTCTGAAGTGCTTGTTCAATTTATTACTTAGAGTTCTAAGGTGCCCTCCTTGAATGATTTAATATTGACTGTACCTTGACAATACATTGACCATACCTTGACAATGTACGTAAAATCAATTGCAATTTGGTGGGAATGATTCTTTGCGTAATCGAGATTAAATACATTTCATTCATGTGGAAACTAATGCAAGCTCCCACCATTTGGGAGTCCACAGTTAACATCGGGGTGTTTGTGTGGTATGATCCACCAGGCATCTGATATCATTTTACCCCAGCATCTGTCAACATCGGTCGCATGGTTGTTACACTTGTACTGAATGACACCAGGGCTTCCCAAGTGTGGCTTTATTTGCCTTGGGGATGTTAGAACAAATTGACCAAGTTAGTAACTGAGAGAAGGAATGAGTGATGTGTTTAAGAGGTGCAAATTATGGGACCATAAGTTTCAGTTTGCCACATCAACGTTGGGCAGATTATGGAAGTTTCTAAGTTGCAGCATTTGAGAATCTAAGGACAAGGACTAACTGGTTCAATCTGAAGCAAAGTTAGTTGAACCCTTTAAAGAATGCCACAGCTAACCATGTGTCTTGAATAATTGCTTGTTTATGGGTTTTAAGTATTTGTGGTAAATGTAAGATAGAAGGATGAGCCTGAGAAAGATGGTTTCAGGATGAAATAACTTGCATTTGGTGTCGGAGGAATATTGAGGGAAGGGAATGAGTTACATTCACCATCTGTTCGTGCTCTTCCAATGCACATGAAACCATGAAAAGTGAAACAAGATGTGCCGTAGTGGGAGGTTGGCTAACTGATAATATGTCATTGATGCTAATGAAATGTAAGTAACAAAAATAATAACAGAAGCATATTGAACTATGGAAATCTAGTGCATGGAAGGAGCCCATTGGCACATTGTGTCCAATGGATGGACCAGATAAGACCTGCACTGAACTGTTAAGAGTTCTATTGTTGGACATGCCATGGTATTTCATACAAGTGCAGCCTCTGGCTATAATAGCTGTGTTTTATACTTACAGAAGACAGTAGGCAGCATGGACCAGTGTTTGAAGAGCAACCACTCCCTACAATCTACCCAAAAGAGTCTGAGGAGGCAAAAGTGTCTCTAAACTGCCGGGTTCGGGCAAATCCCCCCCCAGTTTACAGGTAAAAGCAATGCTTTCTGTTTTGTATACATGAGCCTGTCTTTTGTAAGTGTTCAAGGAATATTGCTCCATGTGTCTTTTATCCATATTAGAAAGTATGTCAAACCTGACTGACCTCACGTTATATTCACTTCTACTTTTCCTGTTCCCTATTGATATCATTTGATTGCCAGGTGAGTACTGGAATGGTCTTGATTTGCCTTTGCATTCATGTTTCCTGTCACGAATACCACTGTGTCAAAGATAAGTGAAGGAATATCTTGTGGGTTCAGGACTCCCCAGTAGCCAATGTTTCTCTTGAATTACGTGTAGAAATCGTTTTGTTTTTGCTATAGGTGGAAACTGAACAACCGTGACATTAATGTGGATGATACTCGTTACAATATGATTGGTGGTAACCTCGTTATCAACAACCCAGAAGATGTCAAGGATCGTGGCAAATACCAGTGTCTTGCAACAAACAAGTACGGAACCATTGTCAGCAAAGAAGCCAACCTGCAATTTGGATGTATGTAATATCTTGGAAATCAGAAATCTTCCTCATCTGATCTATATGCCAGTTTCTATTTGTTAAGTGTTTCATGTTTGCCTTTTACTTCATGTATTGCAGCTGGGGCTCAGTAGTAATACCCTGTCCATTGGTTGTAAGCTCTACTTAAGCACATAATCCAACCTAGTTCTCAGGTACCACACTCCGAGAGTGACGCACTGTCAGAGGTGACAACTTTAACAGGAACTTGAATTTATAGAGCACCTTTTAGTGTGATAAAACCTCCCAAGAAATTTCAAGTGTTTTATTTTGTTAAAAAGTATTATACCCACCCACTTTAGGAGATAGAGTCAGAGTCATCCAGCACAGAAACAGGCTGTTCGGCCCAACTCGCCCAAATCGACTCTGTTCCCAAACTAAACTAGTCCCACCTGCCTACGCTTGACCCATATCCCTCTAAACCTTTCTTAGTCATGAACTTATCCAGATGTCTTTTAATTGTACCTGCATCCACCACTTTCTCTGACAGTTCATTCCACGCAAGAACCACTCCCTGTGTTTAAAAAAGAAAGTAGCTTGGTTAAAGAGCTACATAATAAGTAATATCTTAAAGGAGGAAAAGTGATGGAAAAGGGTAGAAAGTGTACTCCAAAGTTGAAGACCTAGACAGCTCCAGCTGGAAGCTTGACCACCACTGTCCATGTGAGTTTGCATTTGGCTTCTTCCTGTTTATTATCTGTTAACACATGTGTTTACAACCTTCTTTAGTAAAAAAGCTGTATATCATCTAATCGATGATTGATGATTCACCTTTCCTGACGCTTTCCAACCTTCCTGATGGGTTGCCTTGTGCACCTTGATCCTTTTGCCAGGCATTTCAATAAAATAAAGAGCACAGAATGGAACCGCCGGGGAGAATTTATTATCCACTGCTGATTTTTGACCATTACCGTTCTGTAATTGCCCACTTGGGACTTGTTGGATGAGTTCATTTGAGAGTAATAATTCGTACCCCTCAGCAATTCATCGTACAATTCTCTGTTTGCTGTTACTATACACGAAAAGATGGTCAGGGACAGATTACTGAGCTATAAATATCACTCATTATTTATCGGAGAAGGAGAGAAAGGAGCTTGCAATGAATGCTTCTGAACTCCTGACCACTCCGAGTGAGCACATGCGTCTGTAATGTGTCCCTGGCCAACCATTAATTCTCCAGGTTGTGCAGTAGCATGAAATTTGATTCTGAATTAATTGATCTTACAAAGTCCTGACCAAGCAGGCTGGAATCAGCAAAGGAATGCTTCAGATGTAGTTGAGTGAGCCCCAAAGCTGTTTTTTCCCCTTGTGTTGAAGGAAAGAGCAGTTTGAACAAACCTCTGTCCTTGCATTCATTTCTAAAAATCCCGGCAATCTATCACTTCCACCATCACGGCCATGCTGAAGGTGAGCAATTATTATCGTTGATCCAAAATTCCTGAGTTAACTGGAATCAGGCCAGTCATGGTAATGGGATTCAGTTCCACTGGGATGCGAGGAGCAATTTTGTTTGGGGTCTTCAAACCTTGTTCAGCAACTGCTGCTGGCATCACTCATGTTAATGTTTTGTGAGAATGGGTTGTGACATCTCCCAGGGTCAACTAATGTATTGATGCCCAACGTGAAGGAACGTCCCTTCGGGGCAGCTGTGGGAGGTATTCCATGGAATTATATTTCAGAAGGAGTCAGAATAAAAGGGCCTGTCCTTCCAGAGCCCTGTTCCACCCTTTGTAGTATCTGGGACCATATGTTTAAACACTGCAGGGTGTGCTCTCGAGCACCCTTTCTGGCACCTCTTCCATTTTATGATTTCCCCCTTGAGGGGAGTCAGGAAATGTGAATGGGTCTCTGTTTTACTTTCACCTAGTTTCTGTTTCCCTATCATAAGGTGACTGTTGTGAGGCCAGGTGTCACGCAGATTCTGTGGAAGGTGAACATTACCCCATGTGGCACTGTCCTTCCAGAATCCTTAGAAAGGTGAAGAATCCCTGAGGATGAATACAAGTCCACCATTCAGTCTAAATGCACTGCAGATAACAGGACACCTACACATGTAATTACAAGAATAAAGAGTGAATGTTTTTGCACTAGGTTATATTTCTTTGAAGAAGCATGGATGGGTTGAGGAGGGTCTTTGATTATCTGTAGGTTACAGCTCCAGTACAGCTCGGTGAACCTATTTACTGGGGCTCAGCCCAGTCCCTGTGATCCTATTGCAGACCAGATCAGACCACCTCAAAATATATTAAGAAAGTAGCCTAGACCCCAACGTTTTCTTATTTTAAAGATAACTGTCATGTGTTTTGTTCCAGTTACAATTCAATTGGTCAAACTACTCAACATTAAGCAAAATAAAATTTATTCAAACACAATAGTTAAATACAACAAAAGAAAGAAGAACTTTGAATAACAACTCTATTGGAAAGCTTAACAGATTAAGAGATACAGTAACTCTTACTTATTAACTGTTGCAATACAGTAACATCCCATAAACACTCCCATGGCAAAAAGGCAAATTTAGAACATAGATTGCCTCACATGCAACTCCTGTCCTAGGAAGAAAGTCCCCAGATTTTAGCTGTAACCGAGAGAGACAAAAAATAGCTTGCACCTCTTCAAGACCCCAAAAACAACTTCTGTTGGAAGTTAAAACTAAAGATTCCTGGCTTTGTGAGTGGGAGCTTGACCACACCCATCAGGCTGCTTCTATTGTTCCAACTTCTTTCAAAAAAATTCAAGATTTCGCAAGTTGTTCATGTTCTCATAGACTGCTTACCACCTGTCTTCCCAATCACTCTTTAAAAGAAAGCAGAACAAAGTAACACCTTAAAGCCACAGCATTGTCACAATCCTGTTCCACAGTGAAATTTGCTCAGATGTGTCTTGAATTAAATTAATGTTTGTGCCAACAGGAGCATCACTCAGTAAAAGATTTGTTCTATGTGCATTTCTTGAAGAGAAAGCAAAATCTCAGGGTAGTTTGAACTTTTTGTTCAAAGTATTCCCTCATTTTATAATGAGAAAACAAACCTCCCAGGGGTAACCATTTTTAAATATGCAGTTCGCAGGAACCCACTCGGTGCTCTGCTGTTGTGTTAAAGATTTCTTGCCAGCTGTTACCTGTATCTGCGAGTTTTCGATGCAGTTCTGGGTGTCACCCATTAAAGCTACTGCAATGAATTCATTGTGGAGCTGGAGGAACACAGCAGGTCAGGCACCATCACAGGAGCGATAAACCCGAAACGTCAACGTTCCTGCTCCTCTGATGCTGCCTGACCTGCTGCTAACTCTGACTTCAGCATCTGCAGTTCTTGCTATCTCCTGTAATGAATTCATGCTTGCGCAGTGTTGATGGCTGAACGTGAAGCTGCCAATCAGGTTCCTTTAAATAGACATTAAAACATTTTGCTTTACACTGTAGAAATAGTTGACTGAAATATCATTCTGGAGTTTGATGGACTGCTGGAAGGTGCAGTTTGTGTCAACAAGAATAAATTGGAATTGAAATTTGATTGCATTGGAATCTGGCTCCAACCCGCCATAAGCTCGCCCTGAGATAGTAAGAACTGCAGATGCTGGAGTCAGAGATAACACAGTGTGGAGCTGGAGGAAGACAGTAGGCCAGGCAGCATCAGAGGAGCAGGAAAGCTGACGTTCGGGTTGGGACACTTCTTCAGAATTTCTGAAGAGAGCCTGGCCTGCTGTCTTCCTCCAGCTCCACACTGTGTTATAAACTCATCTTGTTAGGTCAGTTAACAATCTCAGCTTTACTTTACAAAATTGCGACTTGTGAATTTCAATGAATAAGAAAGACTGTTTCTGCATCTATCTCTCTTTTCTAGACCTGGAGAGATTTCCAACAGAGGAGCGCCAAGCTGTGGAAGTGAATTTAGGAGTTGGGGTCATGCTTCTTTGTGCTGCTCCTCCCCATTTCCCAGGTAATTATACATGTTTCTAAATTTCAATGTTACTTTAACTGTACTTTCCTTCTCTTGTCAATTTCACCTTCTTCCCTCTTCCCCTGAAGACGTTGGTTCCTTCCTGGACTGTGGTTTATGGACACAGCTCGTGATTAATGCTTTCTCGTGATTGGATGTTTTGATGTGAGCGTTGGCAGTCGGATGGGTTGTAGGCATTCTTTGAACTTAACCATAGAGTCACAATGAGACATATATGATGAGCCTTCCAAAATTCTGCTCTAAAAGGTACACAGTATCTCCCTCTGAACAGCAGTCAACAAAGCCAAAATCATAATGGCATTGGAGAATCTGTGATAAGACCATAACACATAGGAGCAGAAATTAGGCCATTTGGCCCATCGAGTCTGCTCCGCCATTCAGTCATGGCTGATAAGTTCCTCAACTCCATTCTCCCGCTTTCTCCCCGTAACCCTTGATCCCCTTGATAATCAAGAACCTATCTATCTCAGTCTTAAATGTACTGAATGACCTGGCCTCCACAGCCTTCTGTGGCAGTGAATTCCATAGATTCACCACTCCCTGGCTGAAGAAGTTTCTCCTTATCTCCGTTTTAATAGGTCTTACCTTTACTCTAAAGCTGTACCCTTGGGTTCTCGTCTCTCCTACAATTGAAAACATCTTCCCAACGCCCACTCTGTCCAGGCCATTCAGTATTCTGTAAGTTTCAATTAGAAACCTCCTTGTCCTTCTAAACTCCAATGAGTATAGTCCCAGAGTCCTCAAACTTTCCTCATATGTTAAGCTTTTCATTCCTGGGACCATTCTCGTGAACCTCCTCTTCGTTTGGAGAAACACTGACAATGCTCTTGCATTCTCACCACGTCACAAGTAGAATCATGAAATGTCAGAACACGTTTGTGGGTCTTTCAGTTCTTGGCTCTGCCAGATATATGACGCACTGTCCAGTTAGTGCTGGGTCACCATCCTGGAATTCCCTCCCTAAGGTCATTGTGGGTCCATCTACAGCTTGTGGACTGCAACGGTTTAAGAAGGCAGCTCACCACCACCTTCTCAAGGACAGGTCATAAATGATGGCCAGCCAGCAACACCCACATCCTATGAGTGAATAAGAAAAAATTAGTACTAATCCCTTGCATTTTCCTCAGTGCTTTGCAAGCCCCTTCAGATCTCAAGTGTTTCAAATATTTCACGTCTCATTCTTCTAAAGCTTAGCTACTATAGGCCCATCTTATACAGGCTGTCATCACAGAAAGCTTTGCTAGACCTCTTACACTACATATATATCCTCACTTAAAGACAGTGACCAATACACCGACTCCCCTTGTTGACTCAGCAAATCACTGGACAATTATAACAAGATTTCCTTACTCCTGTACTCCAATTTCCTTGCAAAAAAGACCAATGTGCCATTCTTGTGATTCTTGGACATTTATACTGTATTTCTGTAATAAAAGCAAAATACTGAGGATGCTCGAAATCTGAAAAAGAAAGCCAAAAGTATTGGAGAAACTCAGCAGATGTGGTAACCTGTGTGTGGAGAGAAACAGAGTTAACTTTTTGAGTCCAATATGACTTTTCTGAGAGAGGCTGCAGCACTTTCTGTTGCATTTCTGTGCTCCTTGTACTAGTGAACACACGTCTCTGTGAATGTCAATGGTTATAAGTTCTGCACGTTTCAAAGCACAGTCTGCTTTTTTACTCTGATAACTAAAGAGAGTAAATCTCATATTTGCCTACATTATGCTCCATCTGTCACATTACGGCCCACTAAATTACCCTGTCTCTCTCTTTGCAGTATCTTTGCGATCTTACAATTTCCATTCCAACCTAGCTTTGTATTGTCAGCAAACCTGATAGGTCACTTGCCGCATCTGAATCACGAAGATAGATTGCTAATATTTGAGGATCCAGAATTGATCCTTGAAACACTTCGCTTGGTACAGGCAGTCAACTAGAAAATGTCTAGTTTATCCATACTGTCTGCTTCTTGTCTGTTCATCAGTCCACTGCTGATATCTTCACCCAACTCCACATACCGTTTTCTTGTCTATTAGTGACTTGTTCCGCTCCTTGTCAGATGTCTTTTGGAAATTCAAATATACTGGATCTACTTGTGCTCCCTTATCTACCACACTAGATGCGTTCTGAAAGAACTCTAACACATTTATTAAGCACAGTTTCTCTTTTGTAAAACAGTGTTACTTTTGCTGATTCGTACTATAGTTTTATAAATACACTATTAAGTCTTCCTCAGTAGTAGATTAAAGGGCTTTTGTCATTCAATGGTAGTATCCCTATCTTTGAGCCAGGAGTCCCGGGCTCAAGTCCTAATTGTTCTGGAGATGTGTAATAACATCTTTGATTAGAAAAACAGGTTAATTAGAAAAAGAAATTGCAGAAGGAACAGGGGTAGGGTACTCGTGATGCAGTGGTAGACAACAGATACCAGACTGACATGTCTGTAATACCCTATTTATTTGTCTCTCATTTCTCGAACAGCAGTGTTAAATTTTATATTATCTGATCACTGGGGCTGTTCTAGAATCTAGGGAATTTTGGAAAATCATAACCAATGTTTCCGATATCTTTGCAGCTACTTATTTTAGAAAGGGCATAAGCTTTTGGGTGCTGGAATTTGTTGAATTTTAGTCCCTAAAGTTTCTCCAACACTTGTTCTTTACTTTAAGCTCCTTACTTTTGTTAGCCTCTTGGTTGCCTTTAATTTCGTCAGTGTCTCCATACTTTCCTCATCTCCCTTGATAATTTATCCTGTCTACCTCTAAAGGACCCCTGTTCACTTTTCCGCTTTTGATATATTTATAACAATGTTACAATCTACTTTTGTATCCCTGGCTAGTTTAGGCCTGCATTTTTATCTTTCTCTTCATTTTTATAAACCGTTTTAATTACCCATTGCTGGTTTCTGTAACGTTGCCAATCCTCATCCTTATTCAACAGTGTAGGCATCATCTTTTAATCTAGCAGCATCCTTAATTTCAAACAATACCAGAGTTTGCTGGAGAAACTCAGCAGGTCTGGCAGGATTTGTGGAGAGAAAACAAAGTTAAGATTTTGAGTCCAGTGACCCTCCAAAGATATCTGTAGTGATTGGAAAGAGGTGGATCTCACTGAGTATGAGTTCCCTGACTGGGGCTGTTAATGCTGGCACATATCTCTAGGGATTGGCTCTGAGCTAGCTGGTCAGAATCCATTTACTGTGCATTTGTGACTAAAAGGTGACTTGGCAACAGGATACCAGCTTTTTAAGGTTGAGACGATAACACTACTTTCTCTCTATATTAGTGCGGCCAGTCGTGCAGGGTTTCCCTGGCAACTTCTGTTTTGGTTTAGATCTTCAGCATCCACAGTTCTTAATTTTATTTCAATATCCTTTGTTTCCCTAGTTGGCCACATATGGAGTTTTAGATGCTGAGATGTTTCACCCCTCCATGGAGGAATCTAAAACTGTTTAAAGATAAGGATCTCCCATTTAAGGTGGAGATGGGGAAAACTTGGTTTTCTCAGAGGGTTGTGAGTCTTTGGAATTTTTCTTCCACACACAGCACTAAGCATTGTATCACACAGTCCATTCAGTACTGAGTTGGACAAATTTCTGAACTACAAGGAAGTTTGCTTGGTGAGGTGTCGCGCAGAAAAGTGTAGCTACGACCATAGTCCGATCAAGCATGATCTTATTGCATGGTATGAGATGAAATCCATTTTCAGTTGCCTCTCTTTGAACTGGGAAAGTCAGCAATCTGTGAGCTGGACCATTCAGAGCACACTCCATCCCAGCAGTTGCCGGGTGCCTACATTCAGTTTTACTCAGCAATAGGAGTGGGTCTTATTCCAAGGCTTTTAACTGGTCACTCAGGGCAGGTTAGGGGTTGCTGAAAGAAGTTCAAATGTTGAAGCTGTCCACAAAGAGAGTGAGTATTTGAGTGGGGGAGAGAGAGTAGACTCTGTGCTAGGCAGTGCTTCTATTAACTGCATTGCTGAAGGCACTTGAAGTACATAGGATGTGTGTAGTGACAGTTAGTGATATCCTGGGAGCTATGGGAAGCTCTGAAGAAGTCAGATGCCATCAATAGCACCTGAGATGCGTATTAATATTTGCTGGATACATCTGGGAATGCTCCAAAGGCAGTTTTATCACGGTGAAGCTAGTTATCATTGAAGAGCTGGAGTTATACTTGCGAGTGCAGTTTCAGATTCGAGGGAAGTGTAGACCCAGGAAAAGAGGATGATCTACAGAATGGGAGCAGTTATTGAATGCACAACAGGGCAGTTGTTGAGAGGAAATTTGAGGGCCAAATCAGCGAAAGTGAAGAATTGTAATCCCTTGCCATGTGTAATGGACAGAGTCGTCAGCAGTACTGTCAGGTGACACAAGCAAATGAATAACCTGCGTGATCATGCTTGCCTTTGGTAGAGCAAAGCCATTTGGTTCCTAACCACTTCATAATCTTGGTCCAAATGTGCATAAAAGAGCTGAACTCAAGAGCTCTGGTAAGAATAACTGCCCTTGACATCAGGGCTGTTTTGACTGAGTGTGGCATAAAGAGGCTCTAGCAAAGTTAGAGATGGGGATCAGGGGACTCTCTGCTGGTTAGACTCATACCTGGCACTCAGGAAGATGGCTGTGGTTGTTAGTGGTCGATCACCTCAGCTGCAAGACATCTTTGCAGGAGCTGCTTGGGGTCGTGTCTGAGGCTCAACCACTTTTAGCTGCTTCATGAAAACCTTCCCTCCATCATAAGGTCAGCGATGGAGTTGTTCACTGATGATTGCACAACATTCAATACCATCCATGATACTGAAGCAGTCTGTAACCTCATGCAGCTAGAACTGGACATTGTCCAGGCTTGAGCTGGCGAATAGCAAGAAACTTTCAAGCCCCACAAGTGGTGGTCCGTGACCAACTCCAACGAGAGAGAATCTGATCATCGGCTCTTGACATTCAATGGCACCACCACCACTGAAACCCTATTAGCGAC